AAAATATTTTGTATATGTGTGTTTGTTTATATGTATGTGTGTGTGTCGGTATGAATGTTTCTCTGTATGTGTGTCTGTATATATGTATGGGTGTGAGGAGAACGTGGGGGAGGGAGAGACCACTAAAGGATGGTGGGTGTGGGGGAGAGACCCCTAAGGGAGGGTGGGGGGAGAGCAGAGACCACTAAGGGAGGGAGAGGGGGGTGGAGGAGACACCACTAGGGGTGGGTGGGGGGAGAGGACAGACCACTAGGGGTGGGGGAAAGGAGAGACCACTAATGGAAAGGGGGGTGAGGAGAGACCACTAGGGCAGCAAAAATCCTTGCACAGACCCTGACTGAATGTGATGTAGTATATTGTCTGTGTGTGATAGGAATAGTTTGTGTGTGATGTTATTGAGCTGTGTGTTAGCATTGGGATGGCTGTGTGTGATGAGAATGTGTGTGATCATTTAATGCTGTCAATGTGTGACGGGGACTGCTTGTGTTTGTGATGGTTGTGGGCTTGCTGTGTATGGTGGGACGAACTGTATTTGTCTTTGAATGACAGTAATAACCAGTGATGAGTAGATACCATCATGTAACTGGTCATCTGTGACCTGTATAAAAAGTTGGTGAATCCTAGATCAACACAAACTAAAAATATGTAATCCTGGGTACGTATCATTTACTCAAAAGCTTCACTTTGTTACATATTGTCTTAGTAGTAACGTCCACTCCACATGCTCCCTCAGTCCCTATGCTGCAGTCTCAGCCAGGTAGGTAAGGTATCAAACCTTAGGTGTAGCCCCATTATCCGCTCTGCTCGCTCCATCCCTAGTCCCTCTGCAATCTCCAGGCAGGGTAAGATGAGACTGCACTCTCTGTTCACTTCTACCCCTCTCCCCTCCATGTCTCTTCAACCCCGTTCCGTTCTCTGTTCCCCTCTCTTCCATGTCTCTCCCTCCTTCCATCCATCCATGTATCTTATCTTCTACCCATATCTCTCTTCCCCATCCATGTCTCCCCATCCATATTTCCCTTCCATCCATGTCTCTCCCCCTTATGTCTCCCATCCATGATTCCCTCCCCCTTTACATCCATTTTTCCCTCCCCCACTCCATCCACAATTCTCCCTCTTGCCAGTCTCCCCCATTTCATCCATATTTCTCCCCCCTTGACAACCTCCCCCCTTTCATTCATATCTCTCTCCCCCTTGCCAACCTCCACTCCTTTCATCTATATCTCTCCCCTGCCAACCTTCCCCTCCCTATCTATATCTCTGCTTGCCCTTGCCAGCCTCCCCCTCCTATCCACATGTCTCTCCCCTATCCATATCTCCCCTTGCCAACCTCCTCTCCTTCCTCAATACCCTCTTGCCAAGCCCCCTTTCTCAATATCCCCAGCCTTGCCAACCTCCCTCCTTTCATCAAAATATTCCCCCATTGTAACCCCTTTCATCCATATCTCTCCCCGCCAGCCTTCCCCTCTATCCATATCTCTGCCTGCCAGCCTCCCCCTCCTATCCACATGTCTCCCCCCATCCACAAATCCTTGCCAACCTCCTCCCATATCTCTCCCACCCTTGCTGACCTCCCCTCTCTATCCATAACTCTCACCCCTATCTAACCTCCCCCTCCTATCCATATCTCTCCTCCCTATCCATCCTCCCCCTCCTATCCATATCTCTCCTCCCCCTATCAAACCTCCCCCCTCCTATCCATATCTCTTCCCCTCTTGCCAGCCTCCCCTCTTTCATTCCATATTTCCCCTCCTCTTGCAATCAACCCCTTGCCAAGCTATCCCTTCCTGAATATCTCCCCCTTGGAACCTCCCTTTCTCAGTATCCTCCCCTTGCCAACCTATCCCCTTCCTCAATATCTCCCCCATTCTATCCATATCTCCCCCCTTGCCAACCTCCCCCTTCCTGAATATCTCTCTCTTTGCCAGCCTCCTTCCTCAATATCTCCCCCATTCTATCCATATCTCCCCCCTTGCCAACCTCCCCCTTCCTGAATATCTCTCTCTTTGCCATGTGTTGCGGCCCCGGCCCACGCAGAGTAAGAGGAATTTTTATAAATATATTCATTGAGGAAGGAAAAATTAAGACAAAAACTCATTTCAAAACAGTGGCTGTAAACAACTTTATGCTACTCAATAGCTGTCACCATGATCCATAAAAATGCACCCAGATAACAGTTTCTTAGGGTGAGAAGGAACTGGATAGTGAAACATATGAGATTCAAGCCAATACGATGAAAAATAACTTTTTGGAAAAAGGGTACAATCAAAAAGATCTGAAGGCGAATATAAAGGAAGTTAAAGACATAGATAGAAAATCGTTGTTAGAATACAAACAAAAAATTCCTGAAGAAAGACAACAAAAAATTCCTTTTATATGTGATTTTAATAAAAATAGTCGTAAAATAAAAATAATTTTCAACAAATTTTGGCCTATTTTAAAATGTGATAATCTTTTAAATCAAATTTTACCAGAAAAAAACTAATAATTTATAGAGGAGCACCAAATTTAAGGAAGAAACTAGTTCATAACCATATAAAGAAAGATCCCAAATCAGCATTTAAAAAAAAAAAAAAAACGGTTTCTCTGGGTGTGGGGTCTGCTTGGCATGTAGAAACACAAACAGCCCAAAGTGGCACATTGCCAATTATCAGGATCCTCATACAAACAATAAAAAATATAAAATTAAAGAACTAATCACATGCCATACGAAAAAAGTAATTTATGCACTTAGATATCCGTGTAACCTTGTTACCGGAGGAATAACAGGAACAAACCGCAGAAGCCACACATAGAGATATGGACACAAGTCTTCAGGAAGTAACAGGTCTTTTATTTACACACCGATCGGGTCTCAGATGAACTCCTGTTCCAAAAATATCTAAGAGGCAGAAAGCATGGTGCAGAGGCCTTTTATTAGCAGCATATCCCCTCCCATACAGTATAACCCCTCCCATATTCCTCTAACCAATCAGCACACAGGATATTCAGGATCACCTTATATGGGCAGACCACATGGCAGTTACAAAGGAATGTACTATCCACTTCCACACATGCTCAGTATACTGATGACTCATCCAACTATTTGTAATCAGATACTAATTAGCATATGCCATGTGGAGATTTCGGGCTACTAAATTTTGACCATGCTGGAATCCCATCACAACCTCATGTATGTAGGCAAAACCAAACACCCTGTCCATACAAGAATTAAATAACATACACGAAACATTAGAAAAGGCTATGAAAAACACAATGTATCCTTACACTATAAAACACATCATGTATGTACGTAGCGGGGAATCGCGATGCAGCATAATACATAAACTAACCCCATTCAACCCTACAAAATAATGACAGATAACGTAATATGGACGAAACAGGCCACAGCATTTATTATAACATATGATAAAATACTGTATAACTCATCCTTAATTTATTTAATAAGTTCTTTTCTGTAACCAAAACGTTAAACATAAATAACCATAACTTAATATGTATGTATAACCTAACACCCAACCGTCCTTGCCAATAAACTGACCATGTGCCTATGTACCACTTCCTCTCACCTCCCCCCTTGGCATAAACTCATTTCCATCCAGTGCCTGCCAATAGCCGACCTTATCCACGCTCGATGGGCACGTCATCCCAGGTAACCTAAGGTTAACCCTTTAGATCAGGGTGAGACCTGAAAACTTTTTCATCTCATTCCATATCCTTAAACGTAACCCCTCAAACTTAATTGGCAAGGACATAGCCCCGGCTAGCTGCGACTAACTATACTAATGGGGCGGGTGGGAGGGATCGAAGCTGTTTGCTGGCCCGAATCCCAAGTGGCACTGAGGTAAGACCACCCCCCACTAACTCACACAGAACATAATCCACCCACACATGCTTCCAAACAACTCCAACGCATCTATCCCCACACTCATATATGTGCCCTTGTCTGCTTAGCTGCGCTATCTCCCCAGGGCCTTAACAACAACCCACGTTTGTTAGAATTTTTGGGGATTCAAAAGGTGTGTACTAGCTGGAGAGGTGGTGACATAATGAAAGATTTAGGCCAAACAGAGATGAGCTGGATTTTTAATTTGGACACTTTGACCCGTCGTGGTCCCAGCGTGGATTTCGAACCATGTCATTTTCTATAATTTCTCATATTTTTTTTATTTTATTCTTTATTTTTGTTGTGCGAGGTATAACAACAACACTTGTGCTGCCACATCAGCAGGTGCAAGCACAATGAGTTCAACATAGCAAAAACAAAGGCATGTCATTAAAAAACAGCACATTATTTTATAGTGGAAAATGGAGAAATGCAGGCTAGTGTGTCGCTTAAGTGCAGGAGATAGGGAAGGGGTGTTGCATAGCCTGTTATGTTACCTGCTTGGCCTATCGCCTCCTATGAAAGAGTAGGTAGGTGTAGTTAGTGACGTTTTGAGGCGGTATAGGCCTTATGCCTCTTGGCTTAGTAGGGAGGAGGTCAATGTGGGTCTACATGTACAAGAGGTTAGCACCCACGTGGTGACACAATGACACTAATGTAGGTTTAGAGGGAGGAGGGGTTGTGTTAAGAGGTGTAACCCTCAAACCAGCAGATGGAGGAAATTATGTATCAGCGGATATCGTACTTAATGTTAGGGTTCATACAAGATTAATGTAAAACATAATTTAAACTGTGAAACAAACAATTATAAGCAAAACGGAGCTAAAACTGTTATGAGTTAAAGAGTTACTGAGAACTAATGAGTGTTTCAGGAGATAGCTGCCGTAGCACAGTTGCCCCGTTTGGCAGCTGGCACAAATGAGCAAACCTTAGCTGGGTCCCATGTGTGTGATTGCGGCGCTTGGGTTGTTGGTAATGCACCCTCTGGTGTCGTGGTCAGTCCCAGTTGCTTTAGGGTGCTTTTAATTTCCAAGGCCTCTTGGACTTTTAGATTCCCTGAGTCCCGAGGTATCAGCAAACATTTTGGGGTACCCCATTTGTAAGGTATGTTGTGTCATATCAATTCCATTGTCAGTGGTTTTAAGGACCTGCGCCACTCCAGTATTGCTCTGGATAGGCCTGTATAAAACATTAGCGTGTGTCCTTTAAAGTCATATGGTGATTTATTCTGCAACGCTGTTAGGAACGCTTGCCTATCTGGCCCATTTTGAAATCGGGCGATGACATCCCTGTTCCCCTCGGTGGAGCATGATGTAGGCACTGGGAGTCTGAAGCATCCATCCAGGGCCATCATTTTGGCCTGCTTGGCTGAGAAGAGGTGTGTAAGTAATCTCCTGACTAGGTGAGGGATTTCGGCTGTGCCGATCTGCTCTGGTATGCCCCTTATCATAACGTTTTTCCACGTCCTGCGGTCTTCCATCACCGCCATGCTGCTCTGAGTCTGTGCCTGTTCAAGTAGTTCTTGTTCCATGTTATTTAGGCGGGCTTCATGAGTGGCCGTGGTTATCTCTGCAGCGTGGAGGTGCCTCGACACTCTGCTCCTTGAAGTAGTTAATATCAGCAGCTAGATTATGGCGCAGGTCGTCCAGCAGGGCCTTCAAGGTTCCCTCCGTCACCGGTGAGCCCTCTGAGCGCTTTGCAGGTAAAACAGCTCTTGGTCTTCTAGTAATGGTGGCAAGCTCCTCCATGTTGATGGGATGTTTCGCTGGATGAGTAAGAGAGCCCATCAGAGAGAGGCGCCATGACAGGTTTCACTGCTCCTTGCAGCCTTCTCAGGAGGTTTCCGATGTCGGCAGTTGTCGTTATTCTATCCGCTTTATATTTCTTTGTTTTCTGCCCCATTGTTAGTGGGAACGATTCCTCTCTCTTGGCGGTCAGGTGCCTTGTTGGAAAGGCAAGTATTAGGGCTTTATTTGAAGAACGGCATGGATCTCTCTCGTTATGCGTCCATACAGTATGGCAGCTGGCTCTGCCCCCCCATTCCTCATATTTTTTTTTTTTTATTATTCTTTATTTTGGTTGTGCACTGGATAACAATCATACTTGCAATGCCACAATAGCATTAAGAAGTATTTCAAAAGTGTACAATGTCAAGGCATAGGGAACAGTTGCACATTTTTTTAAAGTAGTAGTATAACACATATGAGTATTAGATAATTATAACATGTCTAACTATAAAGTAAGGTGTAAGCTGATCGTAAACAAGCTAGGTGGTAGTTCGATTTAGAACGTTTATGCAAACATGCTGAACAAACTAGACATGTAGGTAGTTGGTAAATAAATGCTTAGGGTAGAATCCATGCTAAACTATGCTGGCATTTAATTAAGAATAAGTAGACAAACAAATAGCAATTTAAATGTCCAACAAGATGTGTGACCACTGGGGACTAATATCTTGGGGATACTGAGAAGAAACTAACATTGGCATCAATTACAGAGAGAAAGTGGGTAAGGGATAATAAGCTATTAATTGATCCTTGCGTATTGCGGGTATACCGCCCAATCTGGTACCATGAGTTGCCTTGTGTAAGAGGTGAGTCCCGTAGTCCCCAAATAGTTCACAGTCTGTGGATCATGGAGCAGGCCCTCCAGGGTCACAGAACTGCGCAGTCATCCCATACCCTTGGGGGGCTGAAGTCCCAAGCTGGTGTACAGAGCAGTAGAGCAAAGCCCAGATAAGGAGCTGTCCCAGCTCCAGATTTGCCGGCTAGCAGGCACCGACTTTGCAGAGGTTTGAGGTCTGGTAGGGTTCAGGCTCATCTCCAGTGGGGTAAGATGATGGGCTCTATGGGTCAGTCGTGTATGTCTCATGCATTGCCTTGCATCCCGGCGTTTGCTTGCTTGGAGCCATCGGTGTGCAGCCTTTGAAGCTCCTGGCTTAGGCAGGCGGCGTGCACTGTGGTCTGAAGCCTGCAAGGGCCTCACTGCTGTGCATGCCGGGGGGACGAGCGGGCTTCCCACTCTGTGTGGCTCTTGCAAAAGGCTCCTTCACCTGCTGCTGCCAGGCTTGCCCTTCCCCCTACCTGTTGTTAACTTTGGTGGTTGAGAGTCTGCGCTGCAGGTTCAGCCAGAAGCGCTTAAAGATTTAGTTGAGTCTCCTCAGGGAGTCTGCTGTGGAGTCATGTGGTGCCCCTTCGCTTGAGGTCCTCAAAGGACAGATCTTCACCATTTTGGAGCGCCAAGTGAGGCAGTGTGGCCTGGATATTATAGTAGGTTTGAGCAAAGTCTCTAAGTCGCTTGAGAGGGACCGGGATGACCCCCACTGGTCCATAGGGGGGGGCATAGGAGTGCCACAAGCTCAGTCCCCGCCTGGAGCACAAGAAGATCGGCTGCTTCCACTCAGCTTCGCTCCGGGTAGGCTGCAGCAAGGTTCCCAGGATCTCGATAAGAGAAACACACGGGTAAGGTATCAGTCAGCTTACCTGGGTTCCCCTGACCTGATGGCACTTTTAGGCGTATGTGGCAGCCTTTTTCGACAGGTTAAAGCGTTGATTTCAGCCAAATAGTCGGGAGCTCTGGCATACCCCTTCTGGCTAGCTCGGAGGTCAGACTCTGCCCCCCCATTCCTCATATTTGTAATTATCTTTATTATATAAATTAATTTTGAAATAAATTATCTCCACTTTGATCAATTTTCCATTTTTGAGACCTCTTTGTTTGAAGCCAAAAATCTTTTATTATAGTGGTGACAGCACATAAGCAGATTGGTATGCAATATATAGCCAAAATATGCTTTCAATTTAGTTAAGTAATATTGCCCAAATAATACCATCTTGTTGTGGTCTTTTTTTAAATGTATTTTTTTTTTTTTTATAGTACATTTACAAAATTTGTTTTTAACATTCTGGTTTTAATATTCATTCCCCCCTGTTTCCGTTCTACCCCTTTTTTTCTTTCCATGTTTGGGACTTTAAAAACGGCAATATTGAGCGCAAGGACTTATGGACTATGTAGTCTTTTCGTCTATACGAATGGAAAATAGGAGTGACATGCGGAAATAGCCCAATACGTCACTTCCGCCATTCGTACTGATGGACATACGAATGATCATTTACAGCACCTGGTTCATATCAAGCCCCCGACCGAACTATCATTTCATTGGACGAAAGAACCACCGAACACCCCCTTGTAACAGGAGATATGGATGGAAGAAATACACTAATTGAAAAGCCTGTATATCAGGCGAGACCTGGAGGACTATATACAATACTCAAAAAAATAAAAGGAACACAAAAATAACACATCCTAGATCTGAATGAATTAAATATTCTTCTGAAATACTTTGTTCTTTACATAGTTGAATGTGCTGACAACAAAATCACACAAAAATAAAAAAAATGGAAATCAAAATTTTCAACCCATGGAGGTCTGGATTTCGAGTCACACTCAAAATTAAAGTAGATAAACACACTACAGGCTGATCCAACTTTGATGTAATGTCCTTAAAACAAGTCAAAATGAGGTTCAGTAGTGTGTGTGGCCTCCATGTATCTGTATGACCTCCCTACAATGCCTGTGCATGCTCCTGATGAGGTGGCGGATGGTATCCTGAGGGATCTCCTCCCAGACCTGGACTAAGGCATCTGCCAACTCCTGGACAGTCTGTGGTGCAACGTGACGTTGGTGGATGGACGAGACATGATGTCCCAGATGTGCTCAATTGGATTCAGGTCTGGGGAATGGGCGGGCCAGTCCATAGCATCAATGCCTTCGTCTTGCAGGAACTGCTGACACACTCCAACTACATGAGGTCTAGCATTGTCTTGCATTAGGAGGAACCAGGGCCGGACTGGGGATACGAAGCAGCCCTGGAAAAAAATCTATGCCAGCCCCATAAGTCATTGTGCTATGTAGGGTGTTATAAATATATAGAGGCAATTGAAATAGTTGGCTGCACTCTCGGATTTCCTTTAAATGTAACTTTTATTGAAATATTTAAGAGAAGATCAACGTTTCAGTCCCTCTTGTGGACTTGCATCAGGATCATGACGAAAGTCCACAAGAGGGACTGAAACATTGATCTTCTTTTAAATATTTCAATAAAAGTTACGTTTTAAGGAAATCTGAGAGTGCAGCCAACTATTTCAATTGCCTGGATACTGGAGCCCTGGTGATGCAATAGTATATATATATATATATATATATACATATATATATATTATTGATACATTTCTTCTTCTAATTCAAAATATTAGTTATTTTAGGGTAATTAAATTATACAGTAAAGCATACTCACACACAGACACAGACAATCTTACTGATGCACACAAATAGGCTCATTGACAGACAATCTCAATGACACACACAGACAAGGTTACTGGTACACACAAATTTAGTACAGACAAACTCTGATACACACACAAGCTTACTACAGACAAGCTCACTGTCACACACACACGCTCACTACAGACAAGCTCACTGATGCGCACACACTCTCCCTACAGACAAGCCCATTGACACACACATGCTCCCTACAGAAGAGCTCACTAACACACAGATTCACTACAGACAAGCTTACTGACACACTACAGACAAGCTCACTGACACACACGCTCACTACAGACAAGCTCACGATCACACCCATGCTCCTTACAGACAAGAGCTCACTAACACACACACACACATATGATCCCTACAGACAAGCTGACTGACACACATACAAGCTCACTCACCAGCAGGCACACACACACACACACAAACTCACTAGCAGGCACACACAGAGGCTCCCTCACTAGCAGGTGCGCGCACACACAGAGGCAGACAGTCACTGACACCGAGGCAAACATCCACACATACAGAGACAGGCAGACAGCCACACACGGGCAGACAGCCACACACACACAGGCAGACAGTCACACACACACAGGCAGACAGCCACATACACAGGTAGACAGCCACACACACAGACAGCCACACACACAGGCAGACAGTCACACACACACACAGTCACACACACACACAGTCACACACCGACAGTCTCACACACACAGGCAGACAGTCACACACACACACACAGTCACACACAGCGGCAGACAGACACACACACACAGACAGTCACACACAGTCACAGACAGACACACACACAGGCAGACAGTCACACACACACAGTCACACACACAGGCAGACACACACACAGTCACACACAGACAGACACACACACACACAGTCACACACTCACAGGCAGTCACACACTCACACACACAGACAGTCACACACACACAGTCACAGGCAGTCAAACACACAGTCACACAATCACAGGCAGTCACACACACAGACAGTCACACACACAGACATTCACACACACAGACAGACACACACACACAGTCACACACTCACTGACAGTCACACACAGACACAAAAAAAAATTTTTATGATCCCGGCTGGCCATGTGTGAGCTGTGCTGGCCACCTGGTTCCCCCTCCTCCCATG